GGCACCTCCTTTCTGAACAAGATGTTCTTTTTTGGCTTTCCAGCCCTCACCCTCTTGTACTAAACGGCGAAAGTCCGTGCGGTACCGCTTAAGTTTGGACTTTTGCGACGGACTGAGGGGAATGTTCCCAAGAAGGAGATTGTCAATGATCTCACAAATAGCAAAAATGATCGCTTTATCTGATTCACGCAGAATCGCTTTACGGAGGTTAGGTCTGGCCGACAGAAGGACTTGCAGGACAGCACGATGTGACTGCACACTAGGAGCCATTATTTAGCAATGACTAAACCATCCCCTGTAAGTCCCTTTTATACTTTGCTTTGGGAATGTAAATGACACAGGACTCGTCGGGAAAAATTTTAGTTCTAATTCGGAGGTAGTCCAATTGACGGGGATGAAAATCGAACAGAATGTAAGAATGGCCGGCTTGAGTAGCGTCTTGGTACGCTTCAAGAAGGGCTTTCCAGTGTAGGGGGTCCACCTGCAAGCAAAATGTCCTAATTTGGGCCAAGTCTCGCGAAGTTTTAAATAAAGTAATGTAGTGGGAGTTCAAACTAATTTGTCTGAGCCCGTCAGGAAACAGGGCTTGACTCAGGAAGAAAATAGACAAATTTCTGTGGTGGGAACCTTTTATGAAAAATTTAAGGAGTTCTTTTCCATGAGACCATTTTCATTCCATTTCCATTTTCCATGATTTCTTCCAAAAAATCATCAATAATCACTAATTTTGGACCCTCTCCTGTTAGGTGATCACTCATTAAAGGTAATTCTTGACGAAAATCGACACATGAAGACAGCTCTTCGTAGAGCGGTTGCCATTCTGAATAATAAAATATGATCTTGTCAAAGACAGTGTCAAGCATAACCTCCCTTTTTTCAATCAGTTTTTTCATGAAATATGTCTTTCCCGCCCCAGTACCACCCACAATGAGGGCAGTGCAAGGATGTTGATACTTCAGATCCATTTCAGAAGTCATTATGCTATGAATTGAAAATCAAAATACATTGGCTTTTATAGGTTATGGGGCCAGACCAGCTCCCCGGTCTCCGGTGTCTCGTAGATTTAAGGCTGTTTAAAGACATGCTGGTCCATCAGACTTTGTAAATCAATCAATCTTATTTTTTGTTTTTCATGATTAGTTTTATATTTAATTGTCACCGAGAAGATCAAGAACCTCCATCATTTCTTGATCCTCATCTTCCACGTCAGCCCATGCATTGTAGCCGTGTGGAACTGTGTGGGCAAAGTCAAGGCGCCGCCTTTTAGTATTTTTAAGGTGGCCCCACAATGGCCGCGGCCATGTCCGGACATGTCCGTCCGTCCGTTCTTCATGCGTCGGACATGGGTGGATATGGTCCATTTAGTGGTCTGTAGACCATGCCTCGTCTATTTATCGATAATATTCGACGGAGAATGGACAATGCGATCCTCAAAACCTACGAAATAAATATTATACGTAACCTTTGACCGGGGGCAGTGGATTCGGCGCTGTTAGGTTGGCAGTACGGTTAGTGTGAAGGGGAAAGGGGAGGGGGTAGCGCATTTGTTTGGGGTTTCAATCGTTTCTGTTGTTGTGCCGGCCTTAGTCCAAAATATAGTTTGTGAAGCAAAATGAAAGTTCCTTTTTCACAACAGGCATTGTTGAATGCCGTTAGAAAGAAAAGAATAATATGGGACCACACTATGAAAGTGAGTTTCAAGAGAGAATTGCAGAAGAAAGCGTGGCAGGAGGTGGCTGATACCTTTGAAAATGGAGATGGTAAATAACCTCACTATTCTTTTTGATGCGGCCAAGTTGAATTCTGGTAAATGATTAATTCTAATTTCTTGCAGTTTGGCTGTGCAAAAACACCTTCACTACGTTGCGTGAAAGTCGCCAAAAACGCAAGCGGCGACAGAAGGGGAAGGTGAAGAGTGGAGCAGAGGGGTCGGGCCCTGCTGTAAATTTTGCGGCAGACGACATGGGATGGCTGGATGAAGTTGGCGCTGACCTAGCCAAACGCCACGAGACCAATCTACCAAACTCCAGCAATCAGATTGACGATCAGCCAGATGATCCGGTTCTAAATATCACTGCTGTTGAAGCTAACAGCATCCAGTTTGCTCAACAGCAAGGTACGTACACAGTATTCATTCACAACCTTTTTTGGAACAGTTGTGAAGATTATAATATTTATTACCAGTATTGATATTTTAGTCAAGAATCAATTGTTTTGGTAGCAATTTACTTTACAACACTAAAAACTCTTGGTACACTAGGAATCAATGTCAATAACTCTTTCCACCATTGCCTTTCCACTGATAATTATTTTTTATGTCTCCCAGTTGCAAATTGCTGTGAAGAGATTAACAACTTCCACGAGAGGCGCGAGGCAGAGGCGCAGCTGAGATCTCCCCCTGCCTCACCTCAGCAGCAGGGGAACGGACCGTCGGCAACCTCTTCCCCAAGTCAGAGGCCACCGCCACCACGCGTTCCTGGGAGTGGGGAAAGCCTCAGCATGCAGAGGACCAGGCGGACTGTCCGTGCGCCGAACAGATACTCGCCTTCCAGTCATCACAGCTCGAGAATAGGAAGTATGGACGACTCCAGGCTGTCCAACGCTTCTGGTGCTAGTCTTTGTTCGGCGTCGTCAAGGACGTCTGCCGGGCGTCGCGGCGGCCGGGGCCGGGGCCGCGGCCGCCCCCATCTGACCTTCTCTGCAGACGACCTGTCCACTATTCATGAGCAGGACACAATCACTGGTAGGAGCTCTGCTGGCTCTGCGGCATCCCCATCCGTCGCGCCGGCTGGCGCAGGGCAGGTACTAGCCGTTCAGGCACTGGTGCACCACGAACATTCAAGTCCTGCATCACCGCGACTCCGTACCCATGTGCCCTGGGACGAAAACATTCACGGGCCCAGGCCAGAAATGAGGCAGTGGGTCACCCCTGGTGCGCGCATCTTCTCCCCAAGTGTGCGGAGGGAGATGCGGGAAGTGGAGGACAGGATCGAGCAGCTGAACGAGTCGACGCCAACCAGTGCGGGACGGCGGCGGTACCGCAGACGCAGCAACCTGTGGACCTCGGCGCCCATGTCGCCAGTCACAAACAGCCCCATGCACAGTGGACCACGAGACCCTCCTGGCTCTCGACATCGCGACGGTCTCGGCCCTGTGCTCGGTGGACCACGAGACCCTCCTGACTCTGGACATGGCGATGGTCTCGGCCCCGTGCTCGGTGGACCACGAGACCCTCCTGGCTCTGGACATCGTGATGGTCCCAGCCCCGTGCACGATGGACCACGAGACCCTCCTGGCTCTGGACATCGTCATGGTCCCAGCCCCGTGCACGATGGACCACGAGACCCTCCTGGCTCTGGACATCGTCATGGTCCCAGCCCCGTGCGCCGTGCCCCTCGTGGCCGTCGTCGCGTCGGCGGCAATCGCGGCAGCCCTGGCCACAGTCGTGGGGGAGGAAATCGGCATGAGGGCCCGACACGCGCTGAGCTGCGACGAAGAAATGCGGAGGTACGACACCTGTGTTTGGTCACGTTTGTGCACTTCTTGTTATGGGTTCCCTTTAACACTTGGAATGATTTGCTACTTTGTAGGAGAGGGACCGCGAGCAACGCCGGATTCAGATGGCACATGAGGCACACCGCCAGGGCCTGCGAGATAATATAGCCATCCAGGCGGAGCAGGCGGCTCGGAGGAACCGCGACCAACATCAGCAGCAACAGAACGACCTTCATATGCCGGCCGAGGGAGCAGATACTGCCCTCCTTCGACAGTTCCTTACAGAGAGAGAATTTGATGTTTATGGCAACTTTGGCCAAACGTCAGCATCTATGTTACGGTTGTTACCGGCTCCTGTCAGTGGTAAGGCCATGGTGGAGGTCATGGCTTTTTACAACAAACTTATCCATTCGGAAGTAGCAAGAGACATTTTCCTAGGCATGACTGATCCTGTATTTAATCTATAAGAAGAAACAAAAGTACAATTGATTATTGTATTATTTTATATTTCTTAACTGGTTGAGTTTATTATTATTTTATTATTCAGAAGTTGCCGGAGATATTTTTCTGGGCATGACTGATCTTTTGTTCAATCTATGAGAAGAAAAAGAAAGGTAAAATTGATAGTTGTGCCGTTTTATATTTTTTAAGTACTCCAGTTGAGTTTATTTTTGTGTCACTATGCATAAGTGGCCAAAGACATTTTCATATGCATGACTGATCTCGTGTTCAATCTATGAGAAGAAAGGAAGGGTAAAATTTATTGTTGTACCATTTTATATTTTTTAAGTACTCAAGTTGAGTTTATTTTTGTGTTATTATGTATAAGTAGCCAAAGACATTTTCATAGGCATGACTGATCTCGTATTCAATCTATGAGAAGAAAGAAAGGCTGAAATTGATAGTTGTGCCATTTTATATTTTTTAAGTACTCAAGTTGAGTTTATTTTTGTGTTATTATGCATAAGTAGCCAAAGACATTTTCATAGGCATGACTGATCTCGTATTTAATCTATGAGAAGAAAGAAAGGCTGAAATTGATAGTTGTGCCATTTTATAGTTTTTAAGTACTCAAGTTGAGTTTATTTTTGTATTATTATGCATAAGTGGCCAAAGACATTTTCATAGGCATGACTGATCTTTGAAAAGGAAAAGTAAAGGGCAATTGGTTGTTGTACCTATTTTTACTTTTTAGCAACTCAAGTTGATTTTATTGTTTGTTTTTTTTTATAAGATTCATACTTTGTGCCGCAGCCCTTGCAAAGTTTTATTTTCTTGAAACAATTGTTTCACTTCGATTCTTATTTGTGATGACTATGATAACTATGCATGTTAGTTGTTTGGTGTACATCTCAATAAATCTGTTTGTTCAAATGCAGACAATTTTATTTACATTTCACATCTCAATAAATCTGTTTGTTCAAACGCAGACAATTTCATTTACATTTCTCAAGAAGTTATTTAAAGAGGGAAGGTACTCTTAAAATTACAAAAATTACAGGTACTCATACATTTGGAAGAATGTTGTACTGCCATGGCAAGGGGCAACACACAAACAATTCCAAAAACTTCTCACGGACTGCATGACCATCCACAATTCTAACACCATGTTCCTCTTGCCTACGCAATCTATGAAATATACTTCTCTCTTCTTTCTTCAATTCATTTCTCCAGCGTCCCCTCTTCAGATATCCATTGCTCTTATACAAGTCAGCATAACCTGGAGGTAGGTAAACTCGCTGTTTGGGTGGAACACTATCCTCCCTTATGAGATGCAGGTTGTGTAGAGCTGTACATGCAAGTACAATGTTTTGAACAAGTGTCTCACTTCCAATTATATTGCGACGAAGAATTCTGAAGCGAGCAGCCAGAATACCAAAGGCATTCTCAACAACTCTTCTTGCTCTTGAGAGCCTGTAGTTGAAAATTGCCTCTTCTGGTTTTTGATCCAAGCAATCGGCAAAAGGCTTCAACATGTGCACATCTAAAGGAAATGCATCATCACCCACAAATACATATGGCAAATGAGTTTTTAGAATATCATTGAACACTGGTGATGGCAGCTGCAGTTGATGGTTATTGAACAACTTTCCGAATTCAGATCGGTCAAAGACTCCTCCGTCACTTTCACGACCCCGTGCTCCAACATCAACTACTAAGAACTTATATTTAGCATCACTGACAGCAAAAAGAATTATACTATGCCCATACTTGTAATTGAAGTTTTCAGAACCTCTCATTGGAAATTTCTGCAAGAGAAGAAATAATTAGTTATTACTAATCACTACATAAATTGAAGTAAGGAAAGGGAAAATAACACGACGAAACATTATACCTGAACAAAGCAGTGCTTTCCATCAACGCCACCGACACACATCGGAAACTGCCATAAAGACTCAAATTCAGCACTTTTTCTTCTCCACATATCCTCAGAGAGCGGTTCAAATACTTCACCCTTTAAAACAAACCAAATGGCAGCAGTCGTTTCCAGCACAATATTTGAGATAGTTTGGTCTGATATGCGAAACAGGTATGATAGTGATACCATACTGTCCCCCGACGCAAGGTACCTACAATGATACAGTTGCTACAATCACTAGACCTCACAAATTATAATTTTAGGAATAAAAACAGTCAAACTACGTACCTTAAAGTTACAGCGAGTCTCTCACCAGGACAAATTGGTTCACGTAAACTCTTCTTAGTGATGATAGGTGACACTTTGTCCAACAGCCAGTCGAAACTGTCTGGGGTCATTCTCATGAAGTTGAAGAATTCTTCGTGGTCAAATTCTCTCATCTCAGGGATCAGACTGTACCAAGCACCATACATTTTTCTACCCAGAAGTATGGGTTTCACATGAAATCTACGGTCCTTCCTCTTCTTGGCTAGTTTCAAGCAAGACACTGCTCGGAAGCGTTCACGCTTGAGAAGACTGAAAACGGCTAGCCGTTTCACTGATCCTGTGAATAGAAAAAGGTAACAACTATCTTCTTCACAACATAACCACAACAAATTCAAACGCTTGGTAGATATTTTCAAGTTACTTACTACTAGTGGCAGCTGAAAATGGCTGTCCCCGCTTAGCTCTTAATAAAGCGAGAAGGTAGAAATATCGCCTTACTTTCAGAATGCCCATATTGTCTGGGACTAAGTGCTGAATAGCCATATCGTCAGAGATTTTGAGTCACATTCAATTCAAACGAGTTCTGTTTTGAAGCGTTGCCCTTTCACCTTTCACGCCAAACAGACGACGGTCGAGGATTGAGGAAGAAGTGCCAACCTAACAGCGCCGAATCCACTGCCCCCGGTCAAAGGTTACGTATAATATTTATTTCGTAGGTTTTGAGGATCGCATTGTCCATTCTCCGTCGAATATTATCGATAAATAGACGAGGCATGGTCTACAGACCACTAAATGGACCATATCCACCCATGTCCGACGCATGAAGAACGGACGGACGGACATGTCCGGACATGGCCGCGGCCATTGTGGGGCCACCTTAACAAGGTCAGGGTTCATGGCATGACACCATGAACAGGAAACGCTCTTAAAAAACCCAACAACTGAAGACCCATACTTTCAACTAGAATTACATACATGATTTAGGACCAAAATTTCCCCGGGGTTTCATTTCTTCCTGCAGTATTTGGGGTGCTGATCACAAAAATGACTTCCAATTTCATCCCAGACCTTTTCTTTTCCAAAAAATTTACCAATTTTTGGGCCAAAAATTTTTTCATCGAGTTTTAAATAGTTTTCCCGCAGTTTTTGTGTGCTGATCACGGAAATGACTTCCAATTTCATCTCAGACTCTTACTTTTCCAAAAATTAACCCAAATTTTGGACTAAAATTTTTTCATCGAGTTTTACATAGTTTCCTGCAGTTTTTGGTGTGCTGAGCACGAAAATGACTTCCAATTTCATCTCAGACCTTTACTTTTCCAAATATTGACCAATTTCGGACCAAAATTTTTACATCGAGTTTTACATAGTTTCCTGCAGTTTTTGGTGTGCTGATCACGAAAATGACTTCCAATTTCATCTCAGACCTTTACCTTTCCCAAAATTTACCAATTTGTGACCAAACTTTTTACATCGAGTTTTACATAGTTTCCTGCAGTTTTTGGTGTGCTGATCACGAAAATGACTTCCAATTTCATCCCAGACCCTTTTAAATTTTCCCCCAAAAATTTTCCAATTTTTGACCAAACTTTTAAAATTGAGTCTCACATTGACCCTGTATTGGCCTTACTTTGCATATATTCTTCACCATCTTCTACAAGAATACGGACGCATCGCTCGCCTACTACGCGCCCAAACAAAACGGCGCGTACCCCTAGTAATTATCAGTAAGTGGTTAAGAAATTTCAGACCATTTCGGCGGTCTGAAAATTTACAATAGGGTGGTCTGAAAATAAAGAACTGGGTGGTCTGAATTATGAGACACGGCCTGTCTGAAAGAAATTCAGATGAAAACACAAAATTTTTACGTTGAACCAGTACTTCTTTGCGAGAGAAGTCTTTGATAGAACTTGCGCGTCGCTTATCGGCCGTGCTCTGTACTCTGAAACTCCGAATGTCTTGGTATTCGAACCATCGAATCTTCGCTCGTCGGCTTTGGGGGCTATCCATTACACCACGGGACCGCGCTGAGAGCACGGCTGCAGGATGCCGATGACTCCAAGCGCGCTCGCTGGACGCTGGGAGGCCACAAATAAACAAACCAAGGGCGGCGTGTTGCGGGAGTTTGACTGCGAACAACTCGGGCTTTTCGTGAATCTCTACGATTTTGTATCGAGCGCTCAAATATTGGGGTTAAATTTGGTCAAGTGAGGCAACCAGTCTGAATTTAAGACCAATACGTCCCCCTTTTTCAGACCCATGGTCAAAAAATACACAACCAGTTTAAAATTTTAAGATCGTTCCGTCTTCCTTTTCTGGAGAAAAGTCTGAAAAAGGGGATTCAGACTTCATGGTCTTGTACTTGGTCTGAATTTTCAGTCACCCCTGTCAGACTTTTTGTCTGGATGGTCTAAATTTGCGAAAAAGCTGCGAAAATCTTAAATTTAATCCGAGGAATCTTTTTGCATACTTCTGGTCTTCATTCGGAAATCAGACCCTAGGTCTTTCAAAATGGTCTGAATTTTAAGATTTTTTTTTAAAAGTGTGCTTTTTTCTCTTTTTGAAAAAATGATTTTTAGGACCTCCGCAGAGCCCTCAAAGTTTTTAACAGTGTATTTGTAGGAAAAAAAACGTAACTTGGTCATTTTTTGACCGTTTTTAAAAAAGAAACGGTGATTTGTTCGTTGTTGTATGCTTATACAAAAAAATATGGCCAACCCTCTTTTTTGTTTGCCTAATTTTCAGGGGCCAAAAAAAACCTTTAAATTTTGGCCCCAAATTTGGGCAAGATTTCAGGTTTGTAGGCCGTTTCAGCCCCCCCCAATTTTTCCCCCACAAAAGGAAAAAGCCCCAAAATCAAATTTTAATCCGGGGTTTTGCAATTTGGGTTTTCCTCCCAAGGCTTAAAAAAGGGTTTTTTTTTTAAAATTTTTTTTAAAGTGTTTTTTCTTTTTTGGGTTTTTGGGGACCCCCGAGGGCCCTCTTTTAACGGTTTGGTAAAAAAACGTAATTGGCTTTTTGACCGGGTTTTTAAAAACGAAAGGGAACGGGAAACCCATCAAAAAAAAATTTTTCCAAATTTTTTTTTTGGGCCTAAAGGGGAAAAAAGGGCTAAATTTTTCCAAAATTAAAAAGGTTTGTTTTACCGAAACCCCACCCCAAAGTGAAAAAGGGCCCCCCAATTAAGTTACCGGGGCCCCAAAAGGCTACCCCAAACAAAAAGGGTTTTTTTTCAAAAAAACCCAAATTTAACCCCCCTTTTGGGGTTTTGACAAAGGGGGGCACCCCACAATTTGGGCCCCAATGGGGCTTGCTAGGGGGAGGAAAACCCCGCGGAAAAAGGGGCCTTGGGAAGTTTCTTTTAGCGGCCTAAGGGAGGTGGGGGAAAATTTCCACCTTTGTTTTTTTTCACTGGGGGTTAAAGTGAAAATTTCCCCAAAACCCCGGGGCCCAAAAGGGGAAAAAAATTTTTTTAAAAAAAATTTCCAAATTTTCCCCCCAAGGTAGGAGGCCCCAACCTTTTTGGGGGCTTTTTGGGTCCCCGCTTATGAAATTTGGGAGTCCTAAAAAAGGGCCCAAAATTTGGGGGGTTTCCACCTTTTTTTTTCCGGGGGTTTGAGGGGAAAAATTAAAACCCCTAAAAAGGGGAAGTATGATTAAATTTTTGAAAATTAAATGCCTTTGGATTTAAGGCCTTTTGGGGTCCCTGGGGGTCCCCTTTTCTTAAATTTTAAACCCATCAAAAGGGGTTTTTCTACCGGGGGAAAATTTCCGGACAAAAATTTGTTTTCCTTCAATTTCCCGAAAATTTTGTTTATAGGGGGTTCTTTGGACTTTTTTGGCCCCCCACCGTTGGGGGTTTTTTTAAAGAACACAAATTTTTAACTCCTTTTGGGGTAAACCCCGGCAAGAATTTGGGGTTTTTTAAAATTTTCCCAAAATTTGTTTGGGGTAGTTTCAAAATTTTTGGCAGCAACCCCACCCGTTAAAAAAAGCCCCAAAAAACAAGCGAAAGGGGGTAACTGGGGGCAGTGTTAAAATTTTAAGGGTTTTGGAAAATTTTCCCAAAATATTTTTGGTAAAAAAAAATAAGTTCCGGAAAAGTCCAACGCCAAAAAAAATTTATCAAAAAACGAAAAATAATGAAATTTTTAAGGTTTTTTCCCCCTTTTTAAAAAAAAATTAATTTTTGGACCCCCCAAGGCCCTTTTGGTTTTACATCCAAAAATAAAAAATAAAAAAGGTTTTTTTTTTCCAAAAAAATTTTTTAATTGAATAAAATTTTTGAAATTATTGGAAAAATCGAACTTGGTCATTTTTTGACCGTTTTTCAAAAACGAAACGGAGATTTGTTCTTTTTTGAAAGCTTATTACGAAAAAAAAATCCCCAAACCCCCCTTTTTTGGTTTCTCTAACTTTCAGGGGCAAAAAAGGGACAAAAATTCGGCGAAAATTTGGGCAATAGTTTTAGTTTGTAGGCCGCTACAGCCACTCCAAGTCCACCCTGTCAGCATGGCGGGGTGCCCTCAGCACAAGGCAACCCCCATGAACAGACTTGGGATGCCGAGTGAAATTTGCCTACCTCACAGGGGCATCAAATTGTGGATTTTTTCGAAAATCTATCAATAGTGATGTCTCTTGGGGCCTCTCGGCACTTAGATCAGCACACTTTCACACGTTTTGATACGCACACTACGTGATATGAACGTTATGGAAGTTGCTGACGCGAGGGACCGCAAACCACGCAAGGCCACAAGAAAAGCCATCAAAATGAAAAAATTTTTCTAAATTTTTTACGTTTTTCTGGTCCTGAGAGGTAGGCATGAGGTGCTCAATAGTCCATTCCTATTGTTTGTTTTTTTTTTCGAGTGGGGGTACCGAACCGTGTGAAAGGGTGCCCATGTGAGTGTCCAGGGGCCCCCAAGAGACACACTATTGATAGATTTTCGAAAAAATCCACAATTTGATGCCCGGGGAGGTGGGGCAAATTGCCCCCGGCATCCCAATTCTGTTCAGGGGGCTTCCCTTGTGGTGAGGGCACCCCGCCATGCTGACAGACTGGACTTGGAGTGGCTGAAGGGGCCCTAAAAACCGAAACTATTCCCAAATTTTGGGCCAAAATTTAGTCTTTTTTTGCCCCTAAAAGTTAGGCAAACCAAACAGAGGGTTGGGCATATTTGTTTTCGTAATAAGCATTCAAAAACGAACAAATCCCCGTTTCGTTTTTGAAAATCGGTCAAAAAATGACCAAGTTACGATTTTTTCCTATTAAGGGCCCGCTAAAGGCTCGGCGGAGGGCGCGTTTGGAGCCAGCCGGAGGCCCGCGAGGCCCCCGCGCGGCGATACATCTATCTCGATTGCCCCCAAAACGCGTTGTCGGATCGAGTTGAAACTTTGCAGGGGCTTCGAGATAAACCAGCCTCGACGCCAGCCTGTTCAAAAAAATTCCAAAATTTTCAGTTTGGCTGAAATTAACCGAAAACTCCCCCGGGGCTTCCAGCCAAAATACGGGAAAAAGCGTTCAACAGTGTTGTAGCCACTAG